GAGAGATCCACTGCTAAGCTTCCAAGCGGTTGCTGGCACAATTCCAGTCCTCGGGTGGTTTTATTTTCATTTTTATCTTTTTAATCCTCGCCAGAGGATATTTTTTCCATTGATTTTTAGAGAGAGTAGAAGGAAGAGGAAGAGACAGAGAGAAAAACACCGATGTGCGAGAGACACATCGATTGGTTGCCTCCTGTATGCACCACCAACCAGGTGCTTGCAACCTTGGTACATGCCCTTGACTGGAATCGAACCCGGGACCCTTCAGGCTGCGGACTGAGGCTCTGTCCACAGAGCCAAACCGGCTAGGACTCAAGTGGTTTTAGATGAAGGGCCTCAGTTCCGCTCTGGCTGTTGGCTGGAGGCCACCCTCCGATCCTGCCACGTGGGCCTGCCCACCCTGGCAGCTGGCTTCATCAACGCCAGCGAGAGAGACCCCATGGAGAGACTTTGCTAGCAAGACAGAAGTCACCATCCTACGTAACTTGCTTGTACAAGTTCATCTCATCTCCTTGCCATATTCTTTTGGTTCAAAGCAAATCACAGGTCCCACCCCTGCTCGGGCGATTGGGGGGTACATGAGGTGAGTACCAGGAGGCGGGGTCATTGGGAGACACATCAGAAGCTGCCACGCCCTAACCCAGGGGTGGGCAAACTTTTTGACTCGAGGGCCACAATGGGTTCTTAAACTGGACCGGAGGGCCGGAACAAAAGCATGGATGGAGTGTTTGTGTGAACTAATATAAATTCAAAGTAAACATCATTACATAAAAGGGTACAGTCTTTTTTTTTTTTTAGTTTTATTCATTTCAAACGGGCCGGATCCGGCCCTCGGGCTGTAGTTTGCCCACGGCTGCCCTAACCGGTTTGGCTTGGTGGATAGAGTGTCCGCCTATAGACTGAAGGGTCCCAGATTCGATTCCGGCCAAGGGCACATGCCCGGGTTGCAGGCTCGATCCCCAGTAGGGGGCGTGCAGGAGGCAGCCAATCAGTGATTCCCTCTCATCATTGATGTTTCTATCTCTCTCTCCCTCTCCCTTCCTCTCTGAAATCAATACAAATATATTAAAAACAAAAAAAGAAGCTGCCAGGTACAGACCCTTATTTTAGGGAGAGAGAACAGCATAATGATTAAGAGGAACGCCTTCCAGGCTTCTTGCACTGACTTCAACATCTCAGATCTGCCCACCTGCCCCTCACTCCCTGTGTCACCCACGGCAGGTCCTGGGCTCTCCGCAGCTGTACGGCTTCCCCTCAGCATCACTGGGACCCGAGTGAGAGATCACCTGTAAAGCCTGGCAGAGTGCTGCGTTGTCAGTAAATATTAGCTGCTGGCTTTTCTTTTTATCATTGTGTATTTTGGGCCTTTTCTTTAAACACCATCCGGTTTTTTGAATTTTAGAAGCAAGTTACGTAGGACTGAAACAGAACATCCCGGTGGCTTCAGACTTGGTCCTGCGTGTGGAAATCCCAGTCCTATGGGTAGTTTCCTGGGCACGGAGCTGCTGCCAGGCTGGCTGTGCAGGTGCTGAGGACTGAGGGGCACCGCCATGGTGCCACCCCTGGATGATGGGGCCGGCGGGAGTCCCTGCCGCTCCCCTCCCAGGTCTCGGTGCCTCTCTCCACACGGCAGCAGCCACTCTCCCTGCAGAGGCCTGGCCATGGTGACCAGGGCTGAGGCCACCGAGCATGCGGCCAGCTGTGCCCTCCCAAGAAACGGCGTTTCTGGTTGGGGTCCCGAGGGAAACCTGTCACGGCGTCAGGTCCTCCCCAGAGCTGAGCAGGCAGATTTGGAGATGGGCCCTTCTTTTTTTAAAATTTTTTATTTTTTAAATATATTTTTATTGATTTCAGAGAAGAAGGGAGAGGGAGAGAGAGATAGAAACATCAATGATGAGAGAATCATTGATCGGCTGCTTCCTGCACGCCCCCTACTGGGAATGGACTCACAACCCCGGGCCTGTGCCCTTGACTGGAATCGAACCCAGACCCTTCAGTCCACAGGTCGATGCTTTAGCCACTGAGCCAGCGGTTCTCAACCTGTGGGTCGAGACCCCTTTGGCGGTCAAACGACCCTTTCACAGAGGTCGCCTAAGACCATCCTGCATATCAGATATTTACATGACGATTCATCACAGTAGCAACATTACAGTTATGAAGTAGCAACGAAAATAATTTTATGGTTGGGTCACAACATGAGGAACTGTATTTAAAGGGCCAGAAGGTTGAGAACCACTGCACTGAGCCAAACCAGCCAGAGCAAATGGGCCCTTCTTGTCTGCACGCTCACCTCGGCCAGAATCATGCCAGGCAGACGACTTGCTGAGTTCGCTTGTCCCTGATCAGAAAGCCCTGCCGTCTTTTCTTGTCTCCCTGTCTCTTCTCCTCTGTCCCTCTCTGCTTTGCGTTCTTCGCTTGCTTGCTCCTGTGGGCTTCAGGACATGGACTGTTTGAGGAAGGTCACTGCTTGGTCCCCCCCCAAGCTGCCCTCTTTCCTGACCAGAGCACCTCTGCCTCCCCTGGCCTCTCCCCCCTCATCCTTCGCACCCAAAGATCCTGTTATTGGTCCCACCGTTGTCCCCGGGGGCTGTGGGAGGACATTCTGGAGTTACCCTGTGCCCTTCACAGTCAGCCGTGTCGTTCTGGAGGAGAGATGCTGGCTGTATCCGTCACTTCTTCCATTATTTTCTAGATCTTCTGATACTGTCTAGTGTGAGGACCTCCCCAGTTTCTTTGAGGATAAAAACCTCCTGGAAGTCTTGTGAAGAATAAGCTACTCAGACCCCTGGCCAGGAGAGCCAGGTCCCTGGGGGCGAGGCTGGGGCCGGGACACTCGTATTGGTAGTTGAAGTGCCCCAGCTAATTGCCGTCGGAGGTCTAAGGTGCTGCAACCCGGACCCGATCTCTCTCCCTGGGTGTGGAGGGCACGAGGGAAGGTCTGGAAGCCCCATCCTTCTAGGGGGGGGACTTGTTAGTGCTCTGCACAAGGGAGGCAGGGTTTTAGCACAATTCAGTCCTTTAAAAACCCCTTCCCACCGCTCCCTCCTCTCCCGTGTGCCGGAGAATCCCACGTGATCTAGTGTTTTCCTCTGTGGCGGGGAACGAGTAGCAAAATACGCTGCCTGGGCCGGCAGCAGCACAGCTGGGCCTCCAGATGTCAGCTTGCCCACGTGGGCTGGGTTGGGAGAGCTGTGTTCATGCGCACGCGCCCCCGAGGCTGCCCTCGGCAGCAGATGCGGCAGCTGCAGGGAGAATATTCCTGTTGTTTCTACAGCGCTCAGCCTGTGCTGGAGGGTGTCGGGTTAGGGTTGAGTGAGTGGGTGAACTCGGTCGCTGTTGGTAGCCCACATTCCCAGAGGCACTTCTCCTGCTCCCAGGACCTAGAAGGAAAGATCCTGGGGCGAGGAATGCTGGTCCCCGCGTTCTGGAAAGCAGGCCTCGCGAAGCAGCTGCGCTGAGGGGGCACGAGGAGAAATGGTCATGCCAACAACGGGTTCTGCGTTTCTCTGCACCCGCGGTTGGTGGTTGCTGCCCGTATTCCTGGTGGGGTTCAGGGCCCCTTGCAGGATGCGCAGAGGGCACCTGGCTCTCCTGGGAAAGTTTCCTTAGAAAGAGCTTTGTTCCCAGTAACCAGCCTCCTAGTCACCACGGTTCAAAGGCCGCTTTGCCTAAAACCACTCCATCTAGAGACCAGAGCCTTCACTTTTCCCTTTTGATTTGTTTGTCTCCCTTTGGGTGCCCTTTTATGTCAATCTCTTTTGACATTGTAAGGATTAAAAAAATTAATTTGTCTAAGTTACCGTTGGATTTAATTTTTACCTCTAACGAGTACTTATTAACTCTGTAGCATTTTCATGAACGATGGGATGGTTTTTACGTTCTGGTGGCAATCCCCCCGAACCCCCCCCCCCCCCATTTTATCTTATTTTGAACACTTGAAAGGATTTTTGAGCCAGTTTGCCTGAAGATCTTTTTATCAAAGATAAATATTTTGTAGTGAGTCTGTTGCATTTTGTTACTTTGTAAATATAAATTTAAAATATGAAACAGTGAAATCTATTGTAATTTTTATACATCTGCCTTCTCTCTTAATGCTCCTTGTCAAGATCTAACTAATTCTCCACTCAACAGAAAAATAGATAATATGCTAACAGTTAATAATCACATGAAGAATTGACAGGTGTGTGGAATGAAAAAGCAGCAATGTAGAGGCAAGAATAGCCAAAGAGAAAGATTTGATGAATTTTACATAAAACTCAAAGGGTTCATAAGTTGGGAACATAAAACTTTAAAGCTTGGCCAGTTATGAATGAATGCATCATTCATAAAATGCTTTGGATTTGAGAAGTACTTAACAGAAATAGAATATGAGGTTACAAATGGTTAGCAAAATCCTAACATTAGTGCAGAATCTCCCACAATAAATTTGTTGCAAATTCCTAAAAATGCCAACAGGATATCAGAAAAAAAATAGGACAGTTGACGGGGTGCAAATACTCTCACTGGACAAGGAGTTGCATTTTATTTTTTTATTTTTTTAAAATATATTTTATTGATTTCTTACAGAGAGGAAGGGAGAGGGATAGAGAGTTAGAAACATCGATGAGAGAGAAACATCGATCAGCTGCCTCCTGCACACTCCCCACTGGGGATGTGCCCGCAACCAAGGTACATGCCCTTGACCGGAATCGAACCTGGGACCTTTCAGTCTGCAGGCCGACGCTCTATCCACTGAGCCAAACCGGTTTCGGCAAGGAGTTGCATTTTAAGCGAATGGATTATTATGCCAGCTGCCCACAGCCCCTGGGTGTTAGGTTTCCGTAAGGACTTCTCTGGTGTCTCACCCCTCTCTTCCCTTTTCTTATTTTAATTGTCCTCATGCATATGTATCTTTCTCTATAAGCGATTAAAATCTTTGGGAATAGTAGGTGGCTTATAAATAATAAATTATACATAAAGTCACGCGCCATCAATTCACGCGCCCATCTCTCGTCTTGCAGAGAACAGCCCATATTCACCACACGCGCGCACGTCTTCCAGATTGACCCCACCACCAAGAAGAACTGGGTGCCTGCGAGCAAGCAGGCTGTCACCGTCTCCTACTTCTACGATGTCATCAGGAACAGCTATCGGATCATCAGTGTGGACGGAGCCAAGGTACCACCCCGCCGGCTGATTTTAACATTCACAGTCGCGTATGTTTCATCTAAAGCAGCGGTTCTCAACCTTCCTAATGCCGCGACCCTTTCATACAGTTCCTCATGTGGTGGTGACCCCCAACCATAAAATTATTTTCGTTGCTACGTCATCACTGTCATGTTGCTACTGTTATGAATCGTCATGTAAATATCTGATACGCAGGATGGATTTTCATTGTTGCAAATTGAACATAATTAAAGTATAGTGATTCATCACAAAAACCATATGTAATTATATATGTGTTTTCCGATGGTCTTAGGCGACCCCTGGGAAAGGGTCGTTCGACCCCCAAAGGGGTCGTGACCCACAGGTTGAGAACCACTGATCTAAAGCCAGGTGATGGATTTGGAAAGTGGAGGGAAAAGGATGCACCCCAAATCCTGCCACCTTCACACAGGTGTCATTGTGATAATGTCTTATAATCACATATCCTGCTTTTCTTTTTCCATTTAAAATTATGGCAAATGAAGAAAAAAGATTTCCCTGTTACCACATTGTCTTTATAACTCGCATTTCGATGCCCGTGTAATCATTCCACCAACGCTCTATAATGTCCTTAATCTCTCCCTTTATGGTTAGATATTTAAGTGGCTTCCAGTTTTTTACTACTATAGATAATGAGCATCTTCATGCAACCAATGTCCTCATCTGATCATTGAACAGACCTATTGCTTTCTTTTGGACATTTCCTTAGGATGGATTCCTGGAAGTAATATATTAACACTTTATAGATCTTTTTTTAAATATGTTTTTTTATTGTTGATAGTATTACCGATATCTCCCATTTCCTTCCCTCTTTCCCCCCCTCCTCCCACCCTTTACCCCCAAACCCCAGGTCTTTATTTCCCGTGTCCATGGGCTATACATATTATAGGTATAGAAGTTCTTTGGTTTAGCTCTTCTCGTCTCCAACCCGACCTGTCAGTCTATTCCATCCCTCCCTGCTTCGGATCTTATTTTGTTTCTCAGTTCATTTTGTTCATTAGATTCCACAAATGAGTGAGATCATGTGATATTTGTCTTTCTCAGTTTGGCTTATTTCACTTAGCATAATGTTTTCTAGGTCTATCCATGCTGTCCCAAAGGGTAAGGGACCCCTCTTTTTTTATAGCTGCATAGTATTCCATAGTGTAATGTCCCACAGCTTTTTTATCCACTCATCTACTGATGGGCACTGGGGCTGTTTCCAAATCTTAGCTATTATAGATAACGCTGCTATGAACGTAGGGGCGCATATATCCTTTCTGATTGGTGTTTTGGGGTTTTTAGGATATATTCCCAGAAGTGGGATCGCTGGGTCAAACACCAGTTTCACTTTTAATTTTTTGAGGAAACTCCATACTGTCTTCCATAGTGGCTGCACCAGTCTGCATTCCCACCAGCAGTGCACAAGGGTTCCCTTTTCTCCACATCCTCACCAGCACTTGTTGTTTGTTGATTTGTTGATGATAGCCACTCTGACAGGTGTGAGGTGATAATTCATTGTGGTTTTAATTTGCATTTCTCTGATGATTAGTGACTTTGAACATTTTTTCATGTGTCTCTTGGCCTTTTGTATGTCCTCTTTGGAGAAATGTCTATTCAACATGTTATAGCTCTTGATGGATGTTGCCAACTTGCTCCCCAAAGAGGCCTTTCTTCCAGCATGTCTGAGAATGCCACCCTTGCCAGCACTGGGTATCATATCTAGTCTGGTGTTGGTGTTCTTAAGCACAGGAGTTGATTTTAATAAGTGATTTGGAATATTTCTTGAAATACATTTTTTCCTGGTTACTTTCATTATTCTCTCTGCCTTGATATTTTTGCTACATTATATGGAAGCAGAATAAAAAAGGGATAGCAGTAGAAGTATCACTAGATTTGCAAAAGAAAAAATGTCCTGCTGCTTTATAATCTGTTTTCATCCTGCTGGACATTCTTACATGGATTATCTGCTGTCGCCTGAAATGAAATGTATCTGAGGCTGAATTCCCCTCTAAACCACCTCTTCATCTCCATTTCTCAATCACTTGGACTAAAAAAAGAAAAGAAGGAGGTTGGAAGAAAGAAAGGAAAAAAAGAGCCTAGCGTTGGCTGGTTTAGCTCAATGGATAGAGGGTCGGCCCATGGACTGAAGGGTCCTGGGTTCAATTCTAGTCAAGGGCACGTACCTCGGTTGCAGGCTCAAGCCCCTGCCCTGGCCCCGGGCCCAGGTGCGTGCAGGAGGGAACCAATCGATGTGTCTCTCACATCAATGTTTCTCTCTGTCTCTCCCCATTCCCTTCCACTCTCTCTAAAATCAATGGGGAAATATCCTCAGGTGAGGATTAACAAAACAAAACAAAAAAATGAAAGAGCCTAAAGTCATTCCCTTTTGAATTGGTCAGAGCAATTTTTTGTGTCTCACATTTATGCCTGATATTTTGTTTCAAAGTCATAACTCTTTTCCTGGAACAGTTTTGCTCAGAGCTTTGCATAGTCTCTGGACTGGCCACCTCTCCCACCTGTAGTCCATCCTGCCCGCGGCCTCCAGGTCAGCACGCCCAGGCAGTCGGCAGCAGGGGGCTGGAGGCTGGGAGTAGAATGGGGCCTGCTCATAGGCTCCTCCCGCCTCAACCTCAACCGTGGACCAGAAGGCTCTGAAAGCCTCCATTGGAGGACCAGCCCCTCCACCCCCAAGGAAAGGCATGAGAGCCTGCTGGTGCCTCCTATCTCTCTTTTTATAAAATATATTTTACTTATTTCAGAGAGGAAGGGAGAGGGAGAAAGAGCGAGAAACATCAATGATGAGAGCGAATCACTGCCTCCTGCACGCCCCCCCGGGGACCGAGCCCACACCCCGGGCATGTGCCCTGACCAGGAATCCAACTGTGACCTCCTGGTTCATGGGTTGACACTCAACCACTGAGCCACACCAGCCGGGCTGATCTCTTGATGAGGCTCCTGTTTTAAGGCAAAATTCTCCCCTCAGCCTGTGTTCTCTGGGCCTCCTCTTAGATAAAGGCGGCTTAGATTCAGGCAGCTTGGCCCCGGGATACTTTCTCGTCCTCCCAGTTGCCACAACCCTTCCTCCGTGGCAGGAAGGGAGCCTGGAGGCCTCACTTCACAGCTGAGGTCAAGGAGAGGCGGTGCCCGGCCTGGCTGGCTGCTGCCTGTGCCCAGGCCCTTCAGGTCGCAGCAGGCGTCCCCGGCCGGCACCGCGTCGTGCAGGCCATCCGTCGGGTAGAAACAGCTGGCCTGGCCAGCATGCCCACGGAGACGCAGGAACTGGTGCTCCCGTCTAAGCAAGCAGGACGGCAAGACTGGGCCGGGTTCTGGTGAGCGTGCAGGATGCGTGAGAGGGCCGGGCCCGCGGCAGGCAGCACTTGTGTTGGGTTGAATGTCTGAAAGCTGCCTTTATTTTTTTTCTTCTGGGTGAGATGGCGATACCACAGTTGTATTGTGTTGCCACGTGCCCGCTCTGGGCCTTTGAGCCGGAGTCTCCGGACTCCGCCAGGATGTCCCGATAGGCCCCCCGGCTTCCCTTTATCTATCGATTCTGTCACTTCATCCGCCATCCGTCAGGCAGGGTTTGCACTGTTGTCAGTTGAGTTATCCGAGGATAGATGGGGCTTAAGTACAGATAAAGCTGCTTTCTTAGAGGAAGTGCTTCAGTCCTGTTAGCTGGGCTTTCAGTAATCTGTCAAAGTGTCAGCCTCTGCGCCGCGCGGCTCTGCGGGTCCCGAAGGCTGTGACAGTGTGCTGGGCCCCAGCCAGACGCGTCAGCGGTGAGAAATCAGAGGGGTGTAGGGAGGTGGGCTGACCCCTCACCGCCGAGGGGTGCTAATTTAGACTCAGTGTGGGGGATCCATCAAGTCACAGAGTCACCTAAAAAGTGGGCATTGGAAACCCAGGCCTTGGGGGGCCCCCTGGGATTCAGAGAGGGAGCCCGCGGCTCTCAGACCACCCCTCCTATGGCACCTGCCACCTGCCCT